TCTGACAGCAGGTCTTCAATCTCTGAACTCGTAAAGTTCTTCTTTTTAATTTTCGCTGTCATTTTCATGAATGAATGGACACTTCCTTGTTTTGAGTAGGAAACATAGCCTTATATGGTGTTTTTGGGGTGGTAATTATGCTAATCTCCTCTCGCGTGCACGAGCAGCTGGATACGAACAGGTGTAATTTACGCAGCTCATTTACACACTTTTCCTGAAGATAGAAGAGTTTGTTGAATCTGACGTGGCATGTTCATACGAACCTTTCGTACGAACAAAAGTAAGAGAAATTTAGGATAAGAATACAAACATGTTCTTGCATGAGGCCCAATGAACTAAAAGTGCAGGAATTTCTTGTTTTTGTTGACTAGATGCAAAGAGAGGCTCGAGGCTAACGGGCCGAGCTGCAGCTTTTGTTGTTGCCAAGAGAGAAGCTGAAGAGAAACCATCTGTTGATGATGACTGTGTCATCTACAGATATGGATCCTTCTGCACCGGCATTGAAGTCTTTGGTGAGTCTCTGTCCAGTTTTGAGATTTTCATCCAGGCTAGTGTTTTTTTTTTAAGAGGAGCTCTTTTATGTCCTTTTTTTCAGAGGGTATTGAAAAAGTAGAGATTGTGCAAATGGATAACAATCTGATTGCAACACCTGGAAAGAACACAAATGTTTTAGACATCACTGTTACCTGTCAGGGAAGGTGAGTCCTCTGGGACTGCAGGTTAAATCAGTAACAGAAGAAACATACAGTAGCTTTCACTGACTGGCCTTTCTCATCCTCCCAGTCTTCCAAAAGAAGTCTGCAGTGTGATCCTGGATGCAGACTGCCTGAAGCCCATCCACACGTCATGTAACATGGTGGAACCTTCTAAAGARTGTCAGCTGGTGCTGCGTCACTTCCTCAATGACTCTGGAGTCTACTGCATCAATGTCTCCATGGCCAATGATGTCAGTTTAGCTGCCACTACTGCTAAAGTCAGCGTTGACATGGGTATGCATGAGCACAGTCAATGAGCTCAGAAGTCGTGTTCTCCTCACCGACACTGAGGTCTTTGTTCCAGGCTCGGGTCTGCCCTCGTCTGGACTCGTCGTCCTGATGCTGGGTGTTCTGGTTCTGGTTCTCGCCACAGGAGTCATTGCATTGTCTTACAGGTAAGACAAACATCCATTTCTTGCTCAAACCTTTAAATATCAAAGTTGTTGCTTGACACCATTAAAAACAGTGGTTCATGTATTTGCCTGTGTGTGTTTCATCTGTTAGCAAAATATCTCATGACTGAGCAGATTTTAATGAAAGGTGCTGGATGTACATACAACTGAGTCATTCAAGCATCTACAGCTAATGGACGTTAGCCAACAATAAATGATTATAATTTAGTCATCATTACAGATATTTAGCTAAGTTTCAGCAGTAGCCACGGAGTTTCATCCACAACACATACTTCAAACACAAACATGGGAGACAAATTCTGCTTTAGACCTGAACATTTAATCACAGAATATAAAGTCTTACATAATGATCAGCTGTACCAAAACAGACCTGCTCAAAGTCTAAGAGTTTTAGTGATGAATCAAAGCGTACACTACTATTTAATCAGAGCTTATTCACAGTACGTAGAAATATATATAATTATGCATATATTATCAAAAACAGTTCAGACATCCGGTGTTGTATAAAGTTGGCCTACCACAAAGTGATACTTGAGTAGTATCTTACCAAAAAATGACTCTGGTAAAAGTTAAAGTCTCCTTTAGGAATATTATTTGAGTAAAAGTCTTAAAGTGTCTGAATTGAACCAATGTTTGGAGGTGACGAAATAATTTTCCAAGATGACAATGCATCGTGCCATAGGGCAAAAACAGTGAAGGCATTCCTTGGAGAAAGACACATTCAGTCGATGTCATGGCCTGCAAATAGKCCAGATCTCAACCCAACTGAAAACCAGTGGTGGAAATTGAAAAAAATGGTCCACAAGAAGGCTCCGACCTGCAAAGCTGATCTGGCAACTGCTATCAAAGAGAGTTGGCACCAAATTGATGAAGAATACTGTTTGTCACTCATCAAGTCCATGCCCCAGAGACTGCAAGCTGTTATTAAAGCCAAAGGTGGTGCAAATAAATACTAGTGATGAATTTTGAATGGTCTTTTGTTTATTCGTTTTTCATGATTCCATACTTTTTTCCTCAGAATTGAGTGATTCCATATTTTTTCCCCAGAATTGAGTGATTCCATATTTTTTCCCTGTGCTTGGTCAATAAAAGTAACATTCACTGACTTCCACAATGTTTTCTCTTCATTTCTTTGAGTGTTCCTGAAAGCCAACAAGTTGCACTTTGGAATGACCTTATTATTGTATCATGTTTTTAATCTGAGTTTGTTTTACAGAAGGAAATGTCTGAGTGCCCATCCAAGACTGGTGATTCCATACTTTTTGCCAGGGGTTGTACTTCTTGCCTTTTTTAAAAATATAAGGAGTGGAAAGTACAGATAATTGTGTGAAAATGTAAGAAGTAGAAGTAAAGAGTAGACTGAAAATGAATTACTCAAGTAAAGTACAGATACCCAAAAATTCTACTTAAGTACAGAAACAAAGTATTTGTACTTATTTGTACTTTACAACTCTGCAGACATCTCAATAAAAACATTAAATGTGAAGTACATTTAAAAATCTGTGTGAACAGAATACATTCCCTTCACTCACCAAATGTACTATTTAACTTTTGTATTTAACCCAATTATACATGTCTGCTACCACATCTAACTGACATCATCCAGATCAAAAATACTACACTGTGGTTTATAAGGCACATTTACATTTAAAGGTCTTATGTGATGGTAGCTGAGAGTCAATCCCAACACTCAGAGGCAGGGCTAGACATTTTTGCATGGGGCGGCACAGGGTTTTTTAGGGGGTCATACAAATAAATAAAACCACGATGGATATGAAAATTGAACTTGGCCTCCACAGCTAACTTTAAATGACTCAAATTTAGCTGTTGTAAGAAATATTAAGCAAAAAAAAAATTGTGAGGTCATAGCTAACAATGATCCTGTTAGTCCCAAGATAACTGGTAATGCTAATGCTAATTACATAAAGGGCTATAATTTAGCTATTTATGAACACATACAGCTAATAACTAGCATAGTACTAACCAAGAAACAATCTTTTACAAAATGTAATTTAAAATACAAAATCCAAGATTGCTCCCAAAGCTCATTTCAAATGACTACAAGTCAGCCACTTTTAGAAATACTGAGCTGAAATTTGGTGTGATGGTAGCCAAGATCAATCCCCATGACATCATACAAACTACTAGCAGCAAATGTTTCTTATTAAATGTCCATCTTTGAACTACCACATGCAAACCCTACCCCACTTGTCAATCATTTGGGGGTGGCACATGGAGTGGCTAATCAGATGCCAGGGGTGGCAATTGTCATCTTAAAGTGTATCTTACCTCCCCTGTGAAAAGATAACTCAGCCCCAAGGCGAAATTTGAAAAATGCATCAAAGTGGGT